TTGTCAAGATAGGGTAGTGCTGCTGATAGGTGTTACAGGTGCCTGAATAAGTTTTGAAACGCTTTCCACTTTACTATCTGGAATTTAAATGTTAACAGCCCTAAGTAAGAGCTGGTTACTTCACTAGTCTAATTTAAAAGATTTATTTAAAGATTGATGTGTAAAAAGTAACAAGTCCAGGATTTTGTTTTTGAACATAGGGAAACAGAGGGTTTCAGGCCACTGGAAGCTTGCAAATGTGAACTTGTGGCAATGGTGGCAATGAGCACAGGACCCAGGGCAACTCAACCAGACAAGGACCCAGAGTGGAGCAAGGGAAATAGGTGGCAAGTTAGCCCTAGTCTGGGAACTACTGGAGACTGATTACTACTGGGTGAAGGAGAGTTGGCCTTACCAATGATCTCTAGATAGGCTGACTGAACTCCAGTGGATGAATTTGCCTTGAAGGACATCTGGGTACAAATGTTTGACTGGATAGGACTTAACATGTATGGCAGAATACATGAGGTCTGATGGGGGTGGGCATTGATGGGGGAGGGGTGTCTAAATTTGATTAAGAACTGTTGTAGAAATGTACAAAAGCTCAACAATTTTTTTTAAAGTAACAAGTAGGTTCTTCTTTAGAAATCATTCCGTGGAACTTTAATTTCAATGCAAGTAGTGTGCCAGTCAAGGGTACAAAGTTTTGACTATGTAAGATGAATAAGTCCTGAGCTCTGCTGTATAGCATAGGACCTGTAGTTAACAATACTATATTGTATGTCTACTAAGAGAGCAGATCTTAAGAGTTCTGAGAGAGAGAGGGAGAGAGAGAGAGAGAGAAAGAGAGAGAGAGAGAGAGAGAGAGAGAGAGAGAGAAATAGGATGGGAAGATATTTTTGGAGTTGGTGGGTATTTTTACTGCATAGATTACAGTGATAACATCACAGGCATATTTTCTCATGTCCAGTAAATTTTATGCATTAGATATGTACACTGTTTATATTGCAACCATGACTCATGCAGTCATTTTAAAGAAAAGAAAAAGGAAGAAAACAATTTTATAAAATTAATTTGCAAATACATCATAAGAGAGAAAGAAAGTCTTGTGTAAAGCCTTTACTTCTAAGTCCAGCCCTGTTAGGACACTGGACAAGTTGTTTAACTTACAAAGCTTAGCTTCTTTTCTTTTTTCTTTCCTTTTCTTTTCTTTCTTTACTTCTTTTTTCTCTTTTCTCTCTCTTTCTTCCTTTCATTTTCTTTCTTTGTTTTACTTTCCTTGGTCAGTTAATTTGTTGGTTGATTTTGGAGAAAGATTATCATTATGTATGTAATATGTAACTCAGGGTGACCTTGAACTTTTGGATATCTTAAGAAAACTAAGATTTGCATTTAAATTATGGCCCTGAAAGTCATCCTCATCTCCAGGCCCGTTGTTTCTAAACCAAATTCAAAGTAAGTTGAATTTTAGTGAGAGGTGGTATGTATTCTGTAAGAAAGCTCTCCCTCCATAGCACCCACCGTTCAGTAGGTGCTATTCTTTGAAGCACCACCGAGCCGTCAGGTGAACTGTGCACATATCTAGTTGTGTGATTCAGGCACGTAAATATGTAAGTTTCGGAGTCATTTCACTTTTCTCTATTAATTATGAAATTAAATGGGATATGGGGCTGGGATTATGTAGCTTAGCTGTGGAGCACTTGCCTAGCATGCTCTAGGTTACGGCTTCTGTCATTGGCATTAAGATTGAATGAATAAATGAATAAATAAATAAATGGCATTTCATAGAATTTTAATGTCATGAAGTATTGTAATGTTTTTTGACTTTGGTATAATTTCTCAAGGACAGATAAAAATTTTAGATCATATTATGCTTAATATTTCAATCAATTACAACATTCTATAAATTCTGTCTCAGAAATATTTGTGCAATACATCCTTTCTCCCCCCACCCCCACCTTGGCTCTGTCTTAGTTCAGATCTTTACTGTCTCTCCTTGCTAAACTGGGTGATTTCATTAATGATCAAACATTCAGTGCATCTACTCAATGCTGGGGGAGTAGTGCTGTGCACATCCATGGCATCTGTGTATCATGGAGCTTAGACCCTCTGTTACTGCATGAGGATCTTTTTTGCCTTTCATCATTCTTTGTCCCCTTTTCACCTATCTTCTAGGCCCTTCTTACTCCAAATGTACCTTAGAACTCCAACAGTCTGCATTGCCCAAATATAAGGGTTTCATAATGTGGTCCAGACAGAGTTATTGTAGTCTGCAGCCCCTAATACTCAGTTCAAAGGCCAGTTCATTTGCTGCTTTTCCCATCTGCTTTTTACTGAGTTAGTTTGTCCCCTGAAGACCCACCATACATTTGCTAAATTTCTCTACAGTGCTCATATCCAAAGATTATACTTCCTTCATTCAACCATGAACAAAGTATATAGTCTTTAGTAGCCATTTACCTGTATGCACAACTGGCAATAGCTAAAGAATAGCTCATTCCTTCCTCTCATTAGTGTAATGAACCTGGAAAAACATCTGTGCTCAAGTTTCAGAAAGCCTGTGTTATCTGACTCTTGGTTGGGAGTGTGTATCTCCCCTGTTGTGTTCCAGAGCTTCTTCAGTCTGTCCAAAGTCATGGTCTCAAGGAAAGTGGCATTCGCTTTGCGGTGATTTCTGTATATTCACCTGGTAATTCTCTACATGTCCTGGTTACTAATTCCAGGAAAAAGCAATGCAATGGAAGATCTGTACTATGGTGTCCTGTTTACTCTGATTTTTCTTTGACAATAAGGTAACTACAGACTTTGTAATGAGTTTGTGTTGACATTTTAAGAAAAACATTCCTTTTACTTTAGAAAGATAATTTGTATTCACTAAATTTGTTCCTTGATCATTTCAAACATGCATATACTAGTCTGATATCTCTCACTCTCACTCTTTTGCCTCTATCCGGCCTCTGTCAATCTCCTTCTTCAGACAGGGAGAAAGGCTGGGGGATGCCACCTTCTGGACATCGCACAGCCCTTTCAATCATGAATTCACAGTGGCTATGGCTGCCTGCAATGTCTGTGCCTGTAGAAGACTGGCCCTCTCAACAATCAGTCATGGGTGGGAAGGGCTCATGGGGTCCAACCCCTCCCCTCTGAACTGCTGGCTACTGATACATTTTGTGAAAAGGAGAGTTATGTCTTAGTTGTGTGCTCATTGGTGAACCCATGTGCTCTGGGCTCCAGTGGATAGTTCCAAACCCAGGGTAACACAGACAGCCTTAGGAAAGTGTTCCTTTCTCCTCTCTCCCCTCACTTGTCTTTTTTCTTCTTAACTCTTTTTTTTCTTGAAAATGTTTCTTCACCCCTACATCCTGTGCTGAGACCTATGTCAAGACCATAGAAGTAATTACCCAATAGGACAGAATGAAAATTTCCCTGCCAGTCAGTTTTATTTTTTATTTTTTAATATTTTATTTATTAGTTTTATTTTATGTGTATGACTATATTGTCTGCATGTGTGTAAGTGTACCAGTGTCCTGCAATGTCCGGAGAGGTCAGAAGAGGGCTTCAGATCCCCTGGAACTGAAATTATGGATGGTTATTAGCTGCCATATGGTGCTGGGAATTGAACCTGTGTCCTCTGTAAGAGCAGCCAGTGCTCTTAACTACTGAACCATATCTCCAGCCCCATTCAGTTTTATTTTTACACACAGGAAGCAAAACAAAGCATAAAACTAATTAAATAACTGATTTCCAAGATAACAAAATGACTAGGCTGAGAAATGAAACCAAAAGACATAGACTTTTGAAATTGGAGGTGTGTGTGTGTGTGTTTAAATATTCTTCTGAGTCAGAGAAGGAAAAAATTATATCTGAGTTGGAGATCTGCAAGGTACCTTTAAAATTTGAAACTTTTATTTTCAAGGGGCCGGACTTAATTTGCAATGTGCATGACTTAAATATAGCCATGTTTCATATTGAGCAGATTTTTAAAAGTCTCCAAGGCACATATTTGAAGTTAAAAGCCATTAGATTTTATGGATTGTACAGACAGGCCATTGCAATAAGTTCATCCACAATATCTGACTTGTAAATATATATTGTACATTCTGAACATGAGCTACTCATAAAATATGCCTTTAACACCACAATAATCAAGCTGAGTGTGGTGGCACACACCTGTAATCTCAGCATCAAGCCAGCTGGGCAGGAGTATAAACCGTTCAGAGCCATCCTCAGTTTCACAGAGAAAGCAAGGCCAGCCTGGGTTACATGAGACACTGTCTCAAAAAATCATCCTTCAGCCTCACACTCATCAGATGTAGATATCTGCAACTGAAGTTAAACATAAACGACAATGGACTTGTGCTTTACCTTGTTTTAGAAGGTGTGATTTATACTTTTGTCTAGAAATGGATGGTGCTCCCTAGAAGCCAAAGCTGTTCTCATTCCTTTCCTATGATGGGTTAAAAACCTTCAAGTTGGAATAGTTTGTGAATGACTCTATAGTGTGTATGAGGAGTCCATGAACAATGCTCAAACTTGGTATGCTAAGACATATGTAAAGCACGCACTCATTAGATGGAGGAAATGAAAAATTAATATGTGAAGAATTCAGCTAGCACCATGTTTTGAGCCAAATCCTGGCGTTTATCAGTTTAGTGGAAGACGGAAGCCATCTTCACTGAAAAACATTCCCAGTGAGCTGCGAATAGTGTGGTTTTCGAGTTCCTAAGTGGGAAACTTAGTTCTTTGGTTTCTTTGTTCCTGGTTCATTTGGCTGATCCCTGGCTATTTCAGCTCAATATTTTACATACTAATGGAGCCCAGGGAAGTCCATTTGGCAGCTATTCCTGAGACAGTAATGAAATACGGTGTTTAGTACTGTGCACTATTGTCATAAAATGTGGGGGATATTTTACAGAGATCTTGGTAAGCAGATCTACATCCACTTTATATTTAAAGAGTGTATAAGCCTGAGTGAGGAACTGTATTTTTATATGAGAATAACTAGTACTCTTTTCTTACAGGTAAAAAAAACGTGCCCAGAATCCGATGTTTCAGAACCTCAGAATTCCAGGTACAGTAATAAAAAAATTCAAGACTTCATTAAAAGGTGTAGGAATGTGTTATACTATTAAGCAGATATGATGAAGATTTGAAACATTAAAATTTTTTTCAAACGATTTAGATATACATATGTTTTATATTGGCAAGGGCATTATTAATCACAAAATTAAAATTTTATGGTCTTTTCTGAAACCAAAGCTGGTCTGGAACTCCCTATGTAGACCAGGCTGTCCTTGGAGATGTCTTACAAAGATCTTTGCCTCCTGAGTGCTGAGATTAAAGGTGTGCACCACTATGCTTGGCCACAAAATTAATTTTAAAAAGAGCATGATTGAAGTCATATTTTAAAGAATAATTGAAATTTCTCTAGAAATACTTAAGAAATATTTTCACAGATATTGTTATTTTGATAGCCTTATTTTTAATTTTAATCTTTCATATAAAGTATTTATATCTGGAATTGTAACTGTTACTGAGTAACTGGCAAACCTGGTTTTTGAAAACATGATATTTTTCTTTCATTCTAATCAAACATTACTAGATTCTGAGACTATTAATAAATAAAAATCTTAACATTAACTTGACATTCTATTTCTGGTTTGGGGGAGCTGGAAGAGATAATGAATTTAAATAGCTAAGTGATTTCGTTTAGGAATTTACAGCATTTAGGTGTTTAGGGTCAGACCAGGTGCCCAACAGACTTGTTCTAGGCCTATGCACCCTCACTGCTTTCTTTTCAAACTCTAGGGTTTGATTTTAAATGGATAACAAAAGTATTATAAATACTATGACAATAATAAACACATTACCGTAACACATAAATGATATGACTCACCCTGCTACATTAAAAAAACATCTTTATCATGAATGGGCTCTGGTATGCTACAGCACAGGATGATGTAGTGATGTTTACAGTACAATAAAACATTACATATCTCACTAAACTGTTACTGACCACTATGTTTTCGTTATGAAGAGCAAATATACGTTATGTGCCATTCATTTACCAAGGAACTCTTTTTTTAATGAATTATGATATTCTTATCATTGATTCTTCTGCATATTAAAATGATTGTGTATGGTCTTTTTGGATCATTTATGGGTATAAACTATGATGCATGATTATTGGTATTTGATCTTTGCTCTTAATAATTAGTTGTCAAACTAGTATTGAGTATGTTTAACTTATTAAAGTATTAAGAAACTGATGAACCATTAAATATCTACCTACAGAGCAGAGAAATCTAGAATGTGTGGAGCGAGAGAGAGAAGTCCTCCAGAACTCTGTTCCTGCTGGGCACTTTCTAAACATTGTGCTCATCTCTATGACAACCATACCTATGACTTAATTTGAGAGGGTTATGTAAGTGATTAGATAACTTTTGCAAGCAGCATATTTTGGGGTTAGTCAAAACAACAGAGAATTTACTTTGTCTTATTAATAATATTGCATGTCAAATATTTCATACCTGATTCCACTCAGGAATTTTTTAACATATATTATACTTAACTGCACTTTAAGTAGGCAGAAAGCTACAAAACCTATTCACTGTTCACAGAGGGCACTAACGAGCGACAGATGAAATAAAAGTTCCAAGCTCAGTAAACTTAATCACAGAATTAGGTCATTCTTTTCTAGATAGAAAACCCTGCTTGTGTACCCTTTAAAACATGATTTCAAGGTGGGTGTGTAGCTCAGTAGTAGAAGGCTTATATAGCATACTTAATGTCCTAAATTTGATCACAACATTGCAAAGGCATAAAGTGGAAAATATATCATTTTTCTCTAAAGAAAAATAATGGCTACTTTTAAATGGCTATTAAGATATTTATCTACTCCTTAGTAATCTATTATCTACATAAATTGCCAATGGCTTGTAGTTCCTGTGAATTAGCAAGTGTTTGGCATGGATTAGTTATTCTCAAAATTTCCTGTATAAGTGAATCATCAGGCAAATCACATTCTAAGAACTCTAAGCTTTGCATAACCAAAAACAAACAAAATAAACAAACTTGGGGCTAGAGAGATAGATCAAAGCTTAAGAGCACTGTCTGTTTTAATAGAGGACCTGAGTTTGATTCCCAGCACCCACACGGTGGCTAACAATTGCCTGTAACTCCAGTTCCAGAGAATCCAATGCCCTCTTCTGGCATCCATAGGCATTGTACACATACATACAAGGTGCCCTTCCATACATACAGGCAAAGCACATATAAATTAATAAATACATAAATAAATAAAATAAACTTATTAAAATCCATGATCGAAAGGCTTGGCAACAACCTGGAGGCATTTGTTGGTTCAGGGATCCCAGAACTTTGGTCATGGCTGATCTCTCTCCTGATAGCTGTTTCAATGGCCAATCTCCACAGTCTAGTCATTATCAGTAATGTAAAGTCAGAGATTTGCTTGAACCCTCTATTCACTGCTATTAGGTCTGGGATTTCCTAAACTGACACTCAGTTTATATAGTAATGGACAACCTGGAGGCATTTGTTGGTTCAGGGATCCCAGAACTTTGGTCATGGCTGATCTCTCTCCTGATAGCTGTTTCAATGGCCAATCTCCACAGTCTAGTCATTATCAGTAATGTAAAGTCAGAGATTTGCTTGAACCCTCTATTCACTGCTATTAGGTCTGGGATTTCCTAAACTGACACTCAGTTTATATAGTAATGGAACACACACATACACACACACACACACACACACACACACACACACAAATGTGCTTAAAGAATATTCTACACAAAAGGATATAATAACTTCTAAATAGTTAATCAAAGAATGCTTATAATGGCATTTATTACATGTGTCTACTGAGGTTCTGTTTTCATATCATTAAGAAACAGTTCTTTAACACATACAATCAATTTTCATCTCTTCTGCGTGTGTGTTTCTGTTTGTGTATATCTCTGAGAGCAAGAGAGAAAGAAACAGAGCCATAGTTATAAACACAGACACAGAGACAGAAAGATTTTTTTTAGTTGATATTTAAAACTTAAACTCCAGGGTTTGGTAATAGTATTCTAAACAAACCTAAAAGAGTTGAGTTCCAAATGGAATACTGTATCAATAAAATGGGAGCTGGGAACTAGTGCCGGACAAAATGCTGTCCCACTCAGAGGCTAAAGCAAATGTCATTCATTTATTTAGCTAGCTTTATTGTTTGTTGGTTTTTGGATTTGAAATGATTAGAAGAGATGCATATGGAAAGTGTTTTTACAGTAGGGAAGTAATTAAATTGGGTGTGGAGACTTTGTCAGGAGCATTCTTGGAGTGATATTGTATACCAGCAAATTATTTGTTTTGCCAGGCCTTGTTCCTCTTTGGAAAGAGATGTTTGGGCTGCAGATGTAACTGGTAGATTGGGAAAAAGAGCATTTATAAACCCACACAATCCAAGTCGACAAAACTGTCTTCTTAGAAACAGCACTATGTGTGTCTGCTAAAAGCCAGACAATGGTGACAGTATTTGCTGTTTCCCCAAACTATTAACCTTAATGTCATATGGAAAGGGATATGCCCTTCTTATAAAAATTGACATTCCTTGAATGCTTTTCTTTTGTTTGCTTTCTTCTGTGTCTTTAACCCTGTTCAGCTTACACTGCTCTTGTACTTTCTTCTTAAATACTAATAAGAACCATAAACTAAGTAGACGAAAAAAAATTTATATTTTTCTCATGTTTTACATTACCCAGTAATTAACTTCACTACTGGATAGATCATCTTAAAACACAAACAAAAACATTATTTTTAAGTTCTTTTCCTATAGTCATGGTGAATCCATTTGTCAATTTGAGTCACTTTAAAAATCCTTAGTTCTTATTAATGTGAAAAACAAGACAAATGGGCTTTTTTGAAAACAGGTAATTCTATGAATGTCCTAAAAAAGATCTCTTCTACTTTCATTTCTCTTATTTCTGATGAGAGGGAAGGAAGTGATCTATCTCATTCTAAATTGCATTCTTTATAAATAGCTCAGTGTGTCACTGTTTTGTAGCAATCTCTGTTATATTCGAAGGATTCTTTTGGTGGTCTTCCACTTTGCCTCGCTTTGCCTGACTCTGGCTAGCACAACATTTTCACCAAGAAGAGATTAGCGACATAGAAAAGAAATACAATTAAGATCAGGCGATTTTGTGTGACACTTATTCTGTTAACTAAAGAATGAAGGAAATATAAATGTTGGTGAGACCTCACTGTCAAATGACCTCTAAGAATAACACCAGCTCCTCTGCTGTTGCAACTTGTCTTACCCAGGCCACAGGACTATCAGAAGAACCCAGGGGTCTCCAAAAGGGTCCACTAAGGTGATCAAGGAATAATATTAATGTTATGATGTATAAGATCTAAGATAATAGGATTTTCATAGTGAGTAAACATATTTGTTGGTAATAATGAGAGCTGACTCTTTTCCTACTTCATTAGTTAAAGAAATAGAGTTTGCTAAGAATTTAATGATTGTCTGAACTCAGCAAATGCCTTGATTGAATCTCTGTCTTCTTGACCTAGGCTTTACCAACTATAACTATAAGGAGAAAGAAAGAGGAAGCTTTGAAATTCATTTTGGCTTAATAGGTTGTATTTAAGAGAGCCCCAACAAGTTTATTGATTCAAAGTTTAGGCCTATACATTTTAAAATGTAATTAATTCATTGTGTGTAAAGAGCTATGACTTAACAATGTTGCAGTTAAGACGTTAAGCTCTACATATTTATTTGCTAGTAAAACAACTTTTTCAGTACTTCCAAAAGACCTTCATCTGGATGTGACTTCCTGCCAAACTTAAATGCTATATTGTTTTCACAGCAGGCAAAGCCAAGGGGCCTTCATGAAAACATGCATAGGATTGGATTTTACTGTGACAAATCAATCAGGGGTTCATCTCACCCAGTATTCTGTCTTAAAGATGTATTGAAATTCATTATTGGAAGGGTCTCTTTCCTCAAACTTGAAAGTCTCAGGATGTAGTTCCAATGACCTAAGAGTCTCTTAGTAATACAATGTA